GGGGGGAGAGAGAGAGAAGATACTCTTCTGCAGAGCATTCCGTAAAAGGAACTACCTGTCTTTATAACAGCTGCCACCTTCCATTGTTCTTGCTGGCATTTAGGCCAAGAGGCAATGTCCACAGAGAGATGCCTTTATATAGATCAAGTTCTATATAGATCAAGTTCTATATAGCTTTGTGTGCGATGCCAAGATCCTGGTTCTAAATGGTGACCCAGTGTTCAGTGTTATCAGGGAGACAAAGATCAAGTGCTCTGCTTAATAGAGCAAGATGCTGTGTGTATCTGAAGGGAAGGTGATTTAAGATATTTTTTTGGAATTCATGGTAGCTTAGCCTGATCTTACCAATAACTGCTTTCATTCACCCAATTTCTGGAGTATTCTTCCCAGTCTCTGGGAGCATGCAGAGCCATAACTATCTGAGGGTAGACTGGTTTATTCTAAAGTAACAATAGTAACTACCAAGGTAATTCACAAAAAGAACAAATTAAAAAAAGGCAAAACCAAACTTGTATATTTAGACTGAAGGTTTTTTTAAAGCTCAGTTATAAATCACGTTCATGGATGAAGAGATGAGGGGTCCTAATAATATGTGATGTGTGGTTGTGAAGATCAGTGAATATATCTGAAACCTGTATGTGAAAGAAAAGGGTGAGAAAACGATGGTAGTCTTTTGCAGGGGAATGTAGAAAGTGGGGCAGGGGAAGAAAACATCGGGATATTTTAATTTTTTTTTTTTTTAAGAGGAGTATAAAGGAATGCAACTTCCCTGGATATTTGAACGACATAAGGCAGAAGGAAAACTGAGGAGGTATTCTCTGACTGCTTTGCACAGAGTTTGCAAAATAAAGTAGTGGTAAAAATGGACAATGGTTTGGCTGCATATGGGAATATTGGCATAGCCAAATGGGATCAGACCTGGGGCTCGTACAGTGTGTTATGCCGTGTATGCTAGTACCCAGCCCCAAATGAACCAGGAAGGCCTCAGTAATGTTAGGTGGCTTTAGCTGTTCAGTCTAGGTCATATTACTAGATAGCAGGCATATAACAAATAATTTGTCCCTCTTAGTAGGGTATCATCAGTTAATCTCTATGAGAAGAGGGCTTCTGAAGTATGAGACTCTGCATTTAGCATTGCTTTTATAAATCTTAGTATTATCTCTATGTAGCTAGTTATGTACGTGTCCAGTTTCTTTTCTGTCTTACCGAATCATTTGCCTCACATTTCTTCTTAATAGCTTTGTCATTTTAATAATTAGGATTTTCCAGTTCCTTAAGACAGAAAGAAAAGTTCCTGAGGAAACTTCGTGATGTTTATTTTTAAATTGTGGTTCATTACTTACACGTTAATTTTTTGTCTGAGATCTGAAGCTCCACATGGGAACATTTTTAGATATCCTTAATTGTCCTTGCCCCTTCTGTTAAATTGTCTCCAAGTTTGGAGCAGGGTTTTTTTTTTTTTTCCTTTGAAAAAGGCAGTAATCCAAAGGAAGATTCATTTGAGCTATATAACAGTATTATTGTTTGTATCAATCATACTGTTTCTTATCCTAGAATCTTGTTTGCCTTTTTTGAAACAAACCAAAGGCTTGAGTTATCGTCAGAAATCCCTTGGGGGTTTTTGAGCTATAGTAATTTAGAATATTCATTTTTATCGTCATATGTTGAACATTATTTAGCTTAACTTCATATACAAGGTTGTTGCTCATTTACTGTGTTTGGATATTCCTCACAGTTCTTTCTAATACTATCTTAAGTTTAATCACTCATCTCTAGATTTTGGTCCCAGCTGTTAATTTTATTAGCTTTCTGTTAACCTGTCTCGTTCTTAGCTTTCTTCTGACTCTAAAATGTTTTCCACTTAGGCGGTATTTAGAAATTAGTAATATCCCTTGAAATGTAATATCTCTTGCCTATTTGTGAGCTTTGCCACAATCTACAATAGGAACAAAATCCTACTGGAATTGCAGTGTATATAGGGTTACAGGTACATCTTTTATACTTTCATAACTAATGAGTTATGAGAATTGTGTTCTGTGTATGTAGTTTCATATAAAACTACACTGAAAACAAACCAACACGGATTAGAAATCAGCTCTGGAATGAAGATAAGTAAAGCAAAAATGTTGGTTTGCTTTCAGCATAATTTTCTGTGAAACTATAAATACGTGAAAACTTGAAAAAGTTATGTTGCTTTTTACCTTCTTGACACACATTCATACATTTTTTTATTCTATTTCGCTTTTCTCCAAAAAACTTGTGCTAGTTAAACTGCATATTGCAGTTTTTCACAAGTTTGTACTTAATCAAGATTTCTGCAAGCAGCCTTGATGCCGGGGTATATGTACAGCCCCCTGATCTTGAGCCTTGGATTCCAAACACTCACAAATGTATTTCCTACTCATGGTGGTTTGGGATATACGCTGTCTTTTAAGAGTACATGCTTCTGAGAGCTGCTCAGCTACTTCGTGTTTGAGTTCTTTCAGCACTTAAAGTAAACCGTTTGGACTAGGTGGCTGATTGATTGATTGCTTTGTCATATGCTGGTGTTTTTGATGTCTTATTTTGACACCTCATTCTGTGATTAGTACTTTGTCTTACTACTACCAAAAACCATGTCTAAGGTTGGTATTTCCGCTCCTCCTCTTCCCTTTCAGGTCTTTCTGTGATGAAAACCAGTGCGAGTGTATCATGTATCATCACAGTAATACTTTAATCTTCTTTAACAGGTCTGCATTTTAACCCTGATTGGCAGCTCTGTAGTAGCATAAAACAGGCAGAATATGCCATTAAATTGTGACATAAAAGTAAAATTACAAGTAATGCAACGATTTATTTTACCTTTAAATCACTTAACATCCTCTGACTTCCGTGTTTAGCATTTCTGTATAACTGCTTTTGTTTTTAAACAAGGAAATTCCAGGTTTGAAGAGTCTAAGACAAAGTAATATTGAAGATTACTTCTAATTGACGTTTTCTGAGCACCACTTCTCTGACTCCAGCCTATATAGAAAAGCAGAAATTGCCTGAGCTACCACCTGTGGAGTATGTGCTCTATGGGAGAGAAAAAAATATATGCTCCTGCTGCACCTGTGTCATGGGCTGGGGCTGGGCTGGCCACTAACTCAGACCAGGACAACGTGGTTTCTCTTCCTCTGGCTTCACCCAGTCAGTTGCTTGAGGAGTCTTACTGGTCAACAGTAGTCAACTCACTAGAGTTTTAAGCAAACTTGGCTTGTGAAACGGATCGGTGTGTGGATGTTCTTTTGTTTACAGACTGTTAAAAACTAAATATGTGTTTCTTGTTCTTTACTTCCAAAACAATTGTTAAATATTGTAAGTAACAAATGTTGGGTCTTATATACTTTTTTTTCTCTTTGCAGTGTTCTTTGAAAGTGTGAAATCAGAACTCAGGAATGGATCCTCAGAGTACTCTGATATTTCTGATTCAGAAGAGTCTGAGCCTGATTGCACTACACAGGTATAGCTAGAAAAAGTCACAAAAGTTAACAAAGCAGTTAAATATAATTTTGCTCACTCACTTAAAATTTAATTTGTCAGAATTTGTGTTAATAGAGCAATAACAAAGTATTTCATTCTTGTTCAAGTTAATAGCTCAAACTTATGGTGCTGCCTCATTCTTCATTTATTCTAGTGTTGAGAAAAATGGCAAGATATGCTCTTTTGAGCCAAATTTTATGATCATCTTTGTCATTAAAGTGGGGCTGTCAGTGGGTGAGCCCTGCTCTAGAACATGCAAAGTCTGAGAAAAGTTAGATCCTAGTTGCTTTCTTAATTTCTTCCATAACAAGTCTAAATTACATCATTAGAATGATGAGTATCTACTACACAGTTTCATTTTTAGACCATGGTTAAATGGAAACAATGTTGTAGGCCTTCAGTTTTTTAAATAAGCCAAAGTGGCTAAAGCCTATTGAAGTGTTTTAGACTATTTGAAATAAATGAGAATACTTCATTTGAGGGTCTAGGTTGTAGTGATTTCTTTACAACTACATAAATTATAAATGCTCACATGTGTACCTGTGTATGTATTTACACACATGTATTTTAAGAAAACTTTTAATATTTAGAAATGTGCATGCGTATATACAAATATTTGAATGATGTTTTTCCATTGCAAAGTTGTGCTCTGACTTACTAGTTTTAGTTTGAATTGGATAGCAGTAAAATGCTAGTAGGGTGGAGTGATTATCTCAAATTTTTGTTTTCTGCTTCTGGAAAGCTAGTGCTTTGGTCTTTCTGTCAATTGTCAGCCTATTATAAGACTTTACAAGAAGTCTTCAAATTCCTACTTTTTCTATGGTGGCCAAAATCTATTTTTAATATTGTTGTCTTTCATTACCTCGTCATGATGTTTGAATAAGTGATAGGAACCTTCACTATGTGGCTTCTTCTGGTTTCCCAAACTGCACTGTCAGCAACTGGGGCTCAGCAAGTTTCCTTTTTAAGACACAGAATCAATAGTTACTCAGAAGTGATATATTTCTTCTTCACAGGAGAATGTAGCCAGTTTTGGATTACGTTGTCACTGAGTGAAATGTTTTATATTAATATAATTTAATCTCTTAGTTCCTTCCATATTCTTCTGCTTCTTAATTTCTAATAGTATCTAATGGAATAATTTTTCTGCATGTTTAAATTTGTCTTTTGTAATGATACATCCAAACTAAACTGTCTGATAGCTCTTGTAAATCCTTTTTATGTTTTTATATTGCATCAAAGAGGATATTAACAAAACAAGATAATAACTTTGTTACTAACATTGAGTCATAGTTGTAATTTAATTGACCATTTGTGTCACTTTCCAAGTGTCAAAGATTAACAAGCTGCTCTTGTGAATGAACCTATTATATAAAAAAACATTCCTTGGTGATATGATGCACTTCATTTCAGTTCCGTTTTTGATGATAGGGATAGTGCTGTCAGTCTTGAAGGATTATGATTCCTTCATGTTCTGATCTTCCACTTTCAACACTTTTATTGACTGTCACATATATCCCTTGGCTTAAAAAAAACCTGTGGCGTTCTCTGTACTTGTTGAAAATAGATTAGTCTGGATTACCAAGATAGAACATATCTATTGTAGCCCTTGCTTCACATAAAGGCATATTGAGTCACATATGGCTGCTCCACCTTTGAGAAGTTCCTGCCCATACAAGCTGTAATCTCAGCAGGAGCTGAAAAGCTGTTTCATTCATGAAATGAGGCCATGCCACTGTAAAAGAGGCAACAGATGTTGTGTATCTGTTCCTGCTGTGTTCTGGATTTACCTGAGGGCTTCTGTCATTCATCAGAGAGATGCTGCTGCTGCAAGTTATCTTCTGTGAGAGCAGGAACGAGAAGCTGTTGCTTGTGGCAGGTTGTGTCCCGTTATATGTAATAGGCATCAATTCTGGCTGCTGCTTGAAACCATACTTGCATTTTTTTTCCTCTACTTTGAATATTGAAGATAAAAATAACCAGTGCTCTCTTTAAAGAGAACAATGATTTGTGCCTGGTTTAGTGTGTATAGTGTTTTCTGTAAGAAAATGGATTTTGGAGAGACGCTTTCTATGTTGCTGGAGCAAATACTCATCAGTGTTTCAAAATTTGGATGTGTATAGCATCTCAGTTGCTATAGTCAAATTAACTGCATTCTGAATACTGTGTAGATTAAAAAGTTGGATCTGGAAGCTTTTGCACTTTTTTTTTACTTAGCGTAAATTAAGGTAGTGTTGTCTCTATTTGGGAGCTGTGGTGACCATTCTACATACTGTTTCCTCTTGTTTCAGCAGAAGGATTCCTCCACAGAGGAGTCAGAAAGCTCAGGTGATGAAGAGAAACAGGAAGTAACATCAAATTTCAAAGAGGAACCTAAGGTCACAAGAGACCTTTGTCAAAATACCCAGAAGCCATCCAGAAATGAAACTCCCAGTAAAAAGTAAGCACGTTGTGGGCTTTTGTTTATAAACTGTTGGACCTTTTCTCGCATATTTATGGTTCTGATTTATACCAATGTAAAAATAATTCCTTCAGAGAAATCCAGGGTTCTGTTTTGAAGTTCTTAATATTCCTTTATTTTTCTAGGGAATGTCCTACCTCGACAAGTACAGAAGAAGAAGCTATTCAGGGCATGCTTTCTATGGCAGGATTGCACTATACTACATGTTTACCAGGTCATACTCAAAGCACAGACTGCACAGGTAAAAGAACCTCTCTTCAGGAACACAGAAGCTATCCCAGGAGTCGGCATAAAGACAGACAGCCATCTCAGAGCCACAAAACAATAGAATGTGGTAGGTATCTGAACTAATGATGCTGCTGCTCTCTGCACTTTGACAAGCTGCTCAGAATAAGCACTTAAAGTTACATTTTTAGCTTTGTAGTCAAGTTTTTAAGTAAATCAGACTGGCGTTTAAAGAGGCGTGTTCTTTGGTTTTGTTTTGGTTTTTTTTTCCCATAGAAAGTAAATGTTACTTCTGAAAACTGGGACAGACCTAGCTTGAGAGGTCCTTGGAACCGTCTTCTAAATATTGCCATCTAAAAGTTTTGTGGCATCCTTACAAAAGTGGCAACGTTGTGGCTAGTCTCCTTAATTGAAAGTGTAGTCTCCTTCAGAAAAGATTAACAGAACCTTCATGGTTGCAGTTTTCATGGCATGTGTGTTAGCTGTCCATAGGAACCTGCTTGGTGATTTTTCATGTGTCTTTGGAAGGCATATTTGGCTTAACTTCTGAAATTCTTTAAAGGAGATAATAATCTTGAAGAGGAGAATTCAAAGGTGATTTTTTTTTGTCAGTGGCATTTGTTTTGTCAGTCAGACATCTGTTAAATGCATTTTGGGAATGACAGCAGAACATTAACACTAATCCTCTCAAAGGAATGAAAATCACTTCTTGGAGCAGAGAGAGTCATCATGTTTGAAAATTCTTTACTTGAGAAGGAAATGAAAGAGCATTATAGCTTTGCTGATGTGAAACAAATAGAACTCCACCATCAAATAGGGTGCTAATTC